CTGAGAACCCAAGAGAAACCCTAATTTGAATGCGCAGAAGACAGAATTCTAGCAAGTCTGATTTGTTGAACCTCGCTCTGATACCATGTTAAAGTTTGACCTGCCCTAGAATTCTGTCTTGTTCATTGACTGTAAAGTAAACAGCAAGAAGTAGAAGAGGAAAGAGGAAGAGAGAAAGGAGAGGAAAGAGAGAAAGGCTGGTTCGAATTAGAGAAAAAAGTAAGTCCCTAGATTCGGCCAAACTTGTTATTATATTATTAACTTATTGGAAAAGACTTAAGTGCCCTTCTTTAAGTAAGAGGCACTCGAACTAGCATAACAGTACACATCAACATTCTCAACAAGTACAAAGACCGAAATACCCCTTCACTAACACCACTAACAGCCCCCACACATTAGTATGAAGAATATCAAAAACAGAAGAACATCTTCTATTACTTGCTTTAAAGGAATGTCTACAATGCTTTCCAAGTTGACAACCCTCACACTCCAAACTGGACAAACTGACAGACTCAAACAATTTGGGAAACAAAAAACGCAAAGAAGCAAAAGACAAAAGTCCTAACCGATTATGCCAAAGCATAATCTGACCCGCTGACTCTAACTTAATACTCCTACTAACATGATGACTCTGATGACTGGGAAGCGCATCGAGAAGATAGATTTCATTCACCTAACGACCACTCCCAATCGTCCTCTTTGATTCCAAATCCTAGAAAACACAATGACCAGGAGAAAAAATCACAGAACAGTTTAGTGCCCAGTCTAAGAACATGAAGGACAAAAGGTAGGGTAATGGTATCAGTTATCCAAACAGACCCTTTCCCAGCAATGGGAACATGTTATCCATTAGCTGTAGAAACTCTATCTCTGCCAGAGCAGAGGTGGTATGAGGTAAAAATGGTGGAAATGTTGGTCATATGTTCTGAGGTTCCTGAGTCTATAATCCAGGGAGGTCCCCCCTTACCTGTAGTGGATACATAATTTGCAGTAGCATGTGAACTACCTGCTTGTGCAAACGAGGTAGAATGACTACCTCCTGATCCACCTAATACTTAGTTGGAACTAGTTACTGTCCATATCTCTCCAATTTGGCCCCCACTGCATCTGTTGCAACAGATTCTAGAGAGATTGTAGTAGGTGGCCCTAATAAATCACCAGTCACTACCATATTCGCATTTCCCTTCTTATTTCTGAGTCAGCTCGGTACAAGGTGAAATAAAGCTTCCAACGAGTATCTCTGGCATGTTTGGGTTTCTTACAGTAATCACAGATCAGATCCCTTTTGTCCTTCCTCGGTTCATTTCCACCCTTATCCCCACTCGGCTTAGAATTCATTGTTCTAACCATAGCTAATTGCTCAAGGCATGGGTTCCTCATCATCACATTTCTCCTACTCTCCTCTCTAGACACAAAGGCATATGTATGAGAAAAAGTTACATTGTCTCGGCAAAGAATATGTTGTTGTACAATATCATACTCATGGTTAAGTCCAGCTAAAAACTCAAAAACCGTATTCTTTTCTACCAGCTTCTGATAAGTTGTTGCATCTTTGCTACTTTCCCAAACCACAGTCTCCAAATGATCTATCTCCTACCATAAGGTTTTTAGGGCTGAAAAATAAATAGCAACAGACTTGTCTCCCTGCCTAGTAGTAATCAACTGGTTTCTCAACTAATAGGCTCTAGCAACATTTTCATTCTGTGAATAGCTTTCTGCTACTCCATCCCAAATCTCCTTAGTTGTGTTAGCCCATAAAAAGTTCTTATATAGGGCAACCTAGAATTACACAGCCAAGTCATCACCATGCAGTTCTCTTGTACCCATCGGGAATGGTTAGTTTCAGGTTTCTTTTCCTCACCGGTCACATACCCCAATTTCCCACAAGCACCAATGGTTGTCTTTGCATATTGTGACCATTCTAAGTAGTTTGTATCATCCAACTTGACTGTAGTGATGGTTCCGGCCCGAAGAGGTCCTCCTCCCCCAGATCCCATTTCTCCTAAAAATTTGTTTTCAACTACACAACCCTCCATAACTCTCTGAATGGGTTAGGAAATCAATTTGAGATGGAAAAGAAGGTATTTATCTCCTTTAGAAACCTCAAACACCCTCTTGGATTCCTAGAAGCCCCTCCCTCCAAAGATTCCTTTTTTCCGTGGGAGCTAGAGAAGAGAGAAAAGAGGTCATCGCTCCCTCTAGAGACCTCCAAAAAGGCTAGGACTTGAACCACCCCCTTCAGAAAACCTCAAGAAACCCTAAAAAACTAGAGCGCCACTTCCTAAATCAAAATTGAAGAGTCCTACTAAAACAAGACTCTCCCCCTTTCTCCCGTTCTTCCTAATTTTGGTGTAAAACCCTAGACCAGCTACAAGGGATTGCAATTCCACCAAAAAATCCAAAAACTAGGCTTACCTAAAGTCTTCGATCAGCCCTTTACCTTATTATGCAGTCGGCCGATCTAGGGCTGCATGATGGAGCAGCTCAAGAAATGTTTAAACTTGCTCTAATACCAAGTAGAAAGGTTTGGACAACCTGCTTTGATATAAAAACTGTAAAAGAAAGAAGAAAAGAAAGAGGAGAAAAGGTTTCAGCTAAGAAAGAGAGATGAGAGATAGAAGAGAATGGGAGAAGCTCAGAATTAGGTCTGGCCGCCCCTTTCATTAGATTATATACTCATAAATAAAAGAGAGTACAAAGACAAGTATGCCCTTAGTAAGTCGGCTACTTGTGAGAACTTAAAAAACACCCTTAACTTAAAATATAAACTAATGGGCCTAAGGCCCAATAACTCCCTAACTATGCTATGTAAATAAAAAACATGTTATATCAGCCCAAAAGTCAACAGTCCCTTCATTGGTGTTCTAACATTAGTTGTTGCCTCCTCATATATATCCTTAATTAGGCCTACATACCTATTTTAAACCCCTTTCTTTTCCAAGACCCACCATATTATCTCTCTAGGAACTTTATCATATGCCTTTTCTTGATCAATGAACACCATAAGAAGACCTTTCTTCTTCTCTAGTCTAAATACACTTCGGCAAGCATACATACTGGTAAATATATTGGGATCGAGCTACTCAATGATTCAATCTAAGCCCAATTTGTGCTGAGTCAGCCTGAATTTTCAGGCCCATTCCCAGACCAAAGGCCAAAATTCCAAGCCCAGCCCAATTGAGTTGGGCCAAGTTGGGCCTACTCAAGTTGTACCAGTAGGAGGCATCAATTTTCTGCAAATATAAGCACATTTGGACCAGAAAAAGCATATCAAATCACAGATTGGGGTGCACCTATTAGAAACCAATACAAGTAAATTCAACTTACCATTATACGCTTCAAAATGAATGAACTGTCATCACAAGGACCATCATGATAATCATGATGACCAGATGAATTACTTTGTGAACCTATGTCATACTCATAAGGGTGTTCCAGATGAAAATTATTCATTGAGCAACTATTATTTCTGGGCATCCAATTTAAAGTATCACTTCCTTGAGAACAATTCCAATGAAAAGCCAACCAAACTTCACCATATGCTCCACGGTTAAACCTCCTCTTCAGTACATACCTAAATTCAAGTACATATAGCTTTCTACATTATAAACATACTCTGAAATTAAAATTAGAATACACAAGAAAAAAGATAACAAACGAAGAATGCAGAAAACAAATTTTACTCCCAATTATCTAGCAAAAATTTAAATATTGGCATAAAGTTGCATTTGCAAGAACCGTCAACTCAACTCAATTCAGCCTTAATCCCAATCCCCAACTATTTGGTGTTTGCTACACGAATCCTGTCCTGCCATTGTGCTCTATCAAGAGCCATGTTTTCTGTTAATTTATAAGTTCTCAAATATTTTTTTCACCTCAGATTATGTTTTTATTGGTCTTTCCCTTGCTATTTTAGAGCCTTCTATTTGCACCAATTCACTCCTCACTGCTGTATTCATTGGTTGTGTATGCACATGACTAAACTATCCCAGTCAACTTTCCCTCGTTTTATCACTAATAGCAGCCACTCCTAAATTCTCTATAATGCACTTTTTTCTCCTGCCACTCATCCATCTCAGGTATGCTGGCCACACAGCACACTGGATGCACTACACCATTTCAAACATCCCGCTCTAATTCTACAGACAGCATTCTCTTTAATTTCTCCTACATTATAGATCAAAGTTCAAAGTGTCAATACACCCGATACACACGATACACATGAACATGTGTATCAGGTGTTTCAAAGCCACATAACTTTTTTCTTCAATCTGATTTTTTTTACTAAAAGGTACAGTATAATTGTGTTTCCAAAAAAGTGGAGGGGAAATCTCCCGATATGACTCAATCTGGCATTGGCATATCAAAGAGCATGAGAGACTAAAATTTAGGTGTAGAGAACACTGATGTGGGCCCCACAGCTATGGTCCCACTGTGTTCGTAGGGTAGAA